GATATATGATATATGATATATGATATATGATATATGATATATGATATATGATATATGATATATGATATATGATATATGATATATGATATATGATAAAAATAATTACATTTGAGACGACGGCCGTGTAGGTGATGGCTCTTAAGATGCCGTACCAGGCGCCGATATCTTCGGATCTCTCCGCTAGAGGTCGCCGTGCTTGCGTCACCATCTTGTATGCATCTAACCTAATTTCAGCAATGTTATTTAATAAGGCACAAAGCGGCGCTAAAGGAAACGCAGCAACAAATAATGTTACGAAACCATATTGTAAAACTGAAATTTCAGTATAGTTTTTTTCAGAAATGTCAAATTTTTTTTAAAAATTACTCATTTCGAGATATTCATCGAAGAGGGCCAATCGGCCTGGATCCTGCATGTGGTAATCCTCCTCCCATCTGGTATGTTTCCTAGTCAAGTCTTTGGTGTTGGATCGATGGGTTCTATACCTCCACCAGTTGTAAAATTTCCTAGAAATCAAGTGGTTTGTGTGATTTTGACATGTCATAGCCGTCTATTTACGGATTGAATAATTCGACGAAATTGTTGAAGACTTGTTTGCCGACCATAATGATGGCTAATTGGATGCATAATTCGCTGAGACAACCAGCTGGGTCACAAATGTCACCTTTGACCCTCGAGAAAATCGATTCTCGGATTGCTGCATCGCCGGGAAATGCGTAAAAACGGCCCTTGAAAAACGCAATGTAAATCAAAGATGAGTAAAAATTCATAAATTCGAAAAGAAATATCTTGAAAGTGTAAGAGTCTTCATATTCAGTCTGCGTTCTTGGATTTTCCATATTAGTCAAATAAATGGCAAGTCTATGGTAGAATCTTGTTAGGCACATTATTATTATCAAATTGATCAAGGCGGCTGAGACTGACGTCACGATTTTTGCATGACGTTTCAAAAAGGTACCACCGCCACCATAAATCACCGTCACGAGTGACAATCGGTAGATTATGGTACCCAAGACGGCACACAGTACCACAGCGAGCTGAAAAACACACTTAGGAAACATTTGGTACTAGGTGGTTCATGGTACCATGAAGAAAACTGCGGAACCAGTTAGTAGAAACCGCACAACTTTGAAACTAGCCGGCAAGTAGGGTTCCTTCTCGCGGGTTACTGGGTTCGTCCGGAAGGTCTTCACACTCGTCTCGAATTCTACAAAAGTGGTACCATTGATGGTTCATGGTGGTTTGCACGTACCTGGCCGTGGTTCCTCGTCCTGATCGGTACCATTCAAGTCCCATTCCCATTGGATGACACTCTGTTTCCGTCTCCAAAGCTCGAGAAAAACAGTAGCCCAAAGACTCATAAAAATGGCAAAAAAAACAGTCGCTGGGTTATCAAAAAGATAAGTCAAACGGGCAAATTTACAACTGTCTATTAGTTTTTGGTACTTGCATGCTTTATCACACAAGGGACATAAAGTGATATTACCGGGGCCTAACGGGTCGCAAATTTCCTTCCTAGAAAGTACCACTTACGAACCGGTTATGGTAGTACCACTACTCACGTTGGTATATTATCGGGACTGTCAATGGTAAAAAGCCCATATAAGAAGCACAAAGTACCAACAATGGCCGGGGCTATCAACATTTTGGTGTAGAACCCCAACCAGCAAAAGTAAAGTGCGATTTTATCCCCGAAGTACCTTCGTACCAAACACAATGGTTGTTTTTTCATCCATTTCCCGGGTCTTGCCCATTCTAGGTACAATTTCCGGCGGTCTAGAATCTTACCATCGCTTTGGTTCCGCTCCCACCGCCCTTCATGGAGTGGAAAACAGGCCGAATACGTGTTATCATTCAACAAACGTCGAATTCCCACCTTATCAGTTTCGTCAAATTTGACTCGGAGGAGGATTTGCATCACAATGAGACTCCTTTGGGCACTTGAGTAGCTTGTAACTCGGTCTTTGACCACGAACCTGTCAAAAAACTGGTACTAGTAGTGGTTGGTACCAATGGTACTTACTGTTCCTCCCGATCGGCCCCTTTCGTCGACTCGTAAAACGAGGGTTCTTCCGCGATCAAATCAGTGTTGTATTGGGTCAAGTCATTGAACCTTTTCTGGATTCTAGCCCAGAAGGTTTCTTTCTTGTTTTGGCTCTTCTCGTCGTCCCATGCCTTGACTGAAATGGTAATAAAGCGTTTGATGGGCAATTTCATACTCATGACGGCCGCATATCGCGTCTTGGTCTTCCATGGTAGATGGATTTTCAGGAACCATGTTCTACCATCAAAGGATATATCCTTGTGTTCTAACTCTAGTTCTAGTCCTTCTTTGACGAGGTTCTCCTGGAAAACGCGTCGATGGTCACGTCGTCGGGCCTCTGCTTCCGTCATCACACCCAATTCTTCCTCTTCGTACACTAGTACCATGTCGATTTTTCGGCGCCCATCACGGAAATACAGACTTTCTGGGTCTAAAACGTCGTCTTTTTCGGCCGGTGTTGGTGGTGGGATTTCCGTCCATTCTTCTTCCTCTTCTTCATCTTGCACCAGAGAGGGGATTGGGGTACCAGGGAGGGTCACAAACGAGTCATTGACCAATTGGGGACCAAAAGCCGTCGACAGGTTGGTTTTCTACAATTTGAGTTTAGAAATTGTCAAGGAACCCCAAATGGTACCTTGTCGCTTTGTAAGGAACCCCGTCTGTGATTATCAGGACTTTCCTCAATTCCGTTCAAGGTGTTGTCTTGGTCGTATTTCTGGTACTTGGATATGTTGATCAGTGATTTTGATTTGGTTCTGACTAGAGTGGTACCCGAGGCGTTGAAGACTTGTGGTGTGGGTTGGCGTTCAAACGGGACGTTTATACTACACGTGCTCTCATTACTTGGTCGTCGGGAAGAACCTTCAATCAATAAAGTGTAATACTCCCACACAAATGGTACCAGCATAATTTGGGTTCCAACTTACCGTTTGATTCTTGTTCCTTTTCCGTTTCGATGAAAACGGTGTTGTTGTCCATCAGGCGTTACAAAAATCACTTTTTTGCCCTTAAACTGTTCATTTTTACACTTGCCACCACCGGAAACAAACTAGTTATCTCCTTATCTCTTGCCTTGTAATGTAGATTGTATCGGAAAAGTGGTTAATAATAAATAAACCAACTCTATAGAAACGTTAATATCAACACAGTAAAATCAATTTTACTAACCCACGTTAATATCGATATTATTGTAAAGGGAGCATTTTTTTCAACTAAAGATAGTAATGACCTAAAATAATAAAACGGGTCAAATGTCAGTCGCCTAGAATAGAATTAAAAAGTTTCAGAAACAAATCAATATATCTCGTAGAATTTTACGTCAGAAAAAGTTAACTTTACGGCCTGGTCGGCCATAGCCGACTAGAAAAAATAAAGATACATTGAATTTTTCAATTAGTTACTGGTACTACCACTTTTAAACTATGGTACCACTCTGGTACTAAAAAAAACAAAAAAGTTTTATTGAATTTTTATTGTTATGTATCTAGCCGTCTAGAAAAATTAAAACACATTGAATTTTTTATTTATTTATTGGTACTGTCACTTTTACACTATGGTACCACTCTGGTACTAAAACAACAGAAAAGTTTTATTGAATTTTTATTGTGTTGTGTACCTAGCCGTTTAGAAAAAATAAAAACACATTGAATTTTTTTAATTATTTACAGGTACTATCACTTTTAAACTATGGTACCACTATGGTACTAAAAAACACAAAAGAGTTTATTGAATTTTTATTTTGTTATGTATCTAGCCGTCTAAAGAAAATAAAAGCACATTGAATTTTTTAATTATTTACTGGTACTGTCACTATGGTACCACTCTGGTACTTAAAAAAAACAAAAAAGTTTTATTACATTTTTATTGTGTTATGTATCTAGCCGTCTAAAAAAATAAAAACACATTGAATTTTTTAATTATTTACTGGTACTACCACTTTCAACTATGGTACCACTCTGGTACTAAAAAAACCAAAAAGTTTTATTGAATTTTTATTGTGTTATTTAATTAGCCGTCTAGAAAAAATAAAAGCATTGAATTTTTCAATTATGTACTGGTACTATCACTTTTAAACTATGGTACCACTCTGGTACTAAAAAAACAAAAAAGTTTTATTGAATTTTTATTGTGTTGTGATCTAGAAGTCTAGAAAAAATAAAAACACATTGAATTTTTTAATTATTTACTGGTCCTGTCACTTTTAAACAATGGTACCACTCTGGTACTAATAAAACCAAAAAAGTTTTATTGAATTTTTATTGTGTTGTGTCTAGCCGTCTAGAAAAAATAAAAATTTTTAATTATTTGCTGGTACTACCACTTTTAAACTATGGTACCGCTCTGGTACTAAAAAAAAACAAAAAAGTTTTATTGAATTTTTATTGTGTTATGTATATAGCCGTCTACTACTGTCACTTTTAAACTATGGTACCACTCTGGTACTAAAAAAAAACAATAAGGCTTTATTGAATTTTTATTGTGTTATGTATGTAGCCGCCTGGAAAAAATAAAAACACATTGAATTTTTCAATTATTTACTGGTAGTATCACTTTTAAACTATGGTACCACTCTGGTACTAAAAAAAGAATAAGGTTTTATTGAATTTTTATTGTGTTATGTATCTAGCCGTTTAGAAAAAATAAAAACACATTGAATTTTTTAATTATTTACTTGTACTATCACTTAAACTATGGTACCAGTCTGGTACTAAAAAAACCAAAAAAGTTTTATTGCATTTTTATTGTGTTATGTATCCAATCGATATATTTCGAAATTCGAACAAATAGTAGCGGGTAGTTGCTGGTGCAGTCCTCCATGGTCGAAAAAACCCCAACCATGGTACCACTTGCACTAAATAACGGACTTCCTGAATCACCAAAACACAAACTTCCTCCAGCCCCACAAATTTGGGTACTTTTATCGACTATATTGTTTTTCAAGTCGTGCATTTCTTGACATTTGTGGTACCCTACAGTACCCAAATGTGTCACTCGTTTCTTATCCGGGATGGTTCCATGTGTGGAAGTCCGCCCCCAACCAACCACATACACCGGTACTTCATTTTCGTTTCGAATGGTACCAAATGGTACCATTGGTACGTCTATTTCAGTTTCAAGTTCGACGAGACATAAGTCGTTTCGGTAGATTTTAGTTGATTCGGATTGGTTCTGGTGGATGGTGTAACCAACGATGTTGTAGGTGGTACCATGGGTGAGGTACTCGCCAACATGGACTGTGATCCATTCTACGGGATTATCAATTCTGCGGAAATTAAATAGTGGCATTTTTGGGACTTACATGGAAGTGAAGCAGTGACCGGCTGTTAGTACCCATTTTGGTGCAATGATGGTACCGGTACAAAAATGGTTCGAATTGGCTCTCCATAAGGCGTTTTTTAACGAAACGACAAAGGGAAATGGGTCACTTGATACAGTCGCAAAAAAAATAAAAATGACGAACTTCAACATTTCATAAGTGGTACCACGTGGGTTTTATAATCACAAATAAACACTCTATTGTTTCACATATTTAAAAAACAATAACAATAAAACTGCATGAAATATACTTGTTTTATTTGGTGGTACTAACTAAAAATGTTTTGGTTCCACCTGAACTCACATCTACAATTAGTGGTACCGCAGGCACTGTAATTGCCATCGAAACAATAAACCAAAATAATCGATAAAATTCCACTTTTAATGAGTATTAAGACGTAAACTGGTACTACCGTAATAATAGAAAATAAATTTTTATGGTTCCTTGATTATCTGATATTTAAAAACCTGATTTGTTTCTTTTGTTCAGTCAGAAAACTATAATGGTACCACTACTATTTCCATTTTTATTTACTTTTGCCACTTGTGGTAAGTTCCGGATTGTAATGGTACCACCTAAAATTTCATTTTAAGCCCTTAACCCTGTAACCCGATTTGCAAATCCGGGTGAATTTCCGTATGTTGTATCGATCCGGATTGCTTCAAATAATTTACATTTTTGTGTTGGTACCGTCATTGGTGCCAGATGGGTACTATCGTCTGCAATTTGTTTTACACCTCAACATTCCTCAAAGCAAATAGTGTAAAATTTGACTTGTGTTATTTTCCATCAATTTTACAAATTCTTATAGGAATAGTACCGATTTGCTAGTATATAGTAACACCATTATGAGTGGTGGTACCATCGGTAACCACAACTACGGTAAAAATTTGGTTCTTCATCCAGGGTTTGTTAACACCCCTCAGGTCATACGTAACGACATTGCCCTTCTCGAGGTCAAAAATTCGTTCTACTGGTGGTGGCAGAAAAAATTAGGTCTTGGTACCGTTAAACCCATTTCAATCGCAAGACATGTTTTAGGGTCAGATGGTCTTTCCCTAGCTTGGAGTACCTTAACAACAGACTTGAAAAAGTTAGTTTCACCAAAATTGACCGTTTTTCGCTTATCAACCACCGCAAGTACCACCAATGGGTGTACCAACAGCGACGAATTTATTTGTACCATCAACAAACCCAATGATCACACTTGTCATTACGAAGCTGGGGCACCTCTTATCATTGACAATGAAAAGTACCATAAGTTGGTTGGAGTTGCGTCCCATCTGTTCAATGGGTGTGAGTCCAGTCCTGGGTCTTTCACCAGAATCGAGTACTTCCTACCATGGATCAACGATATCACAAAATTAAGTCTCCAAATTTGAATTAAATGATTAATAAAACATTTATTTGTCACGTTTTTATTTTCCTTTAAAACCCACTTGGTACCAGTGGTACCACGGTCTATAAAATTAAGAAATTTTGATTCAAGGGAGTTACTAAAGGTACTCGATTGGTACCAACTACAGGTTCGTGTCTCTAGAAACCACTAAATTCAAGGTAGTACCATAAATTGGTTGTGATGGGTTTTTGGTACTTCCTACCATGGATTAACGATATCACAAAATTAAGTCTCCAAATATGAATTAAATGATTAATAAAACATTTGTTTGTCACGTTTTTATTTTCTTTTAAAAACCACTTGGTACTAGTGGTACCACGGTCTATAAAATTAGGAAATTTTGATTCAAGGGAGGTACTAAAGGTACTTGATTGGTACCAACTACAGGTTTGTGTCTCTAGAAACTACCAAATCTGAGGTAGTCCCATAGATTGGTTGTGATGGTTTTTGGTACTTTTTACCATGGATTAACGATATTACAAAACTGGGTCTCCGAATATGATTTAAATGATTAATGAAACATTTTAATAGTCACGTTTTTATTTTCCTTTAAAAATAACTTGGTACTAGTGGTACCATGGCCTATAAAATTAAGAAATTTTGATTCAAGGGAGGTACTAAACGTACTCGATTGGTACTGACCACAGGTTCGTGTCTCTAGAAACCACCAAATTTCAAGTAGTACCATAGATTAGTTGTAATGGGTTTTTGGTACTTCCGACCATGGATTAACGATGTCACAAAATTAAGTCTCCAAATGAATTAAATGATCAATAAAACATTTGTTTGTCACGTTTTTATTTTCTTTTAAAAACCACTTGGTACTAGTGGTACCACGATCTATAAAAATAAGAAATTTTGATTCAAGGGAGGTACTAAAGGTACTCGATTGGTACTAACTACAGGTTCGTGTCTCTAGAAACTACCAAATCTGAGGTAGTACCATGATGGGTATTTAGTACTTCTTATCATTAACGATATTACCAAATTGGGTTTTTAAATGATTTGTAATAAAACATTTTTATTGCCATGGTTTAAAAGCCCAGGTACTAGTGGTACCACAGTCAGTACCATGTTGGCCCCGTTGACTTTTTTACTCGTGTTGGGTCCGGTTTTTGCAGGTGAGTTGGAACCAATTGGTACAATGGTACCAAAATTTTGATTTAAGCACCGGAACCTTGGCCGTTCTATTTGTTCATTGCGTCTTTGGAGCAGAATAATCAGCATTTTTGCTCAGGAGTGTTTGTCAAAAACACTCGATTGGTACTAACTCCAGCTTCGTGTCTTGAACAACTACCAAATTTGAGGTACTTCCAAGTGGTACTTTAACGTTTTTTGATGGTACTTTTAGGAACATTCAGGCGCGTCCTGACGCGCCCCCTTGGGAGACTTACTACGTTCGTGATATTCTCATTTACCCATCTTGGGACAAATTGGTACTATTTGACAATGACATTGCCTTGTTGTACTTGCACAAAACTCCCCAAAGGGCCAAACCGTTAAAAATGGGTTCGGCTGGTTCTGTGTCGCGTCTTAGAGCTTATGCATTGGAACCAAAGACAAGACGCGTCAATGTAACTTTTCTGGAACCTGTGAGTACCGATAAGTACTGCAAAAGTACCGAAGCGGTAATTTGTGCAAAAAAATACAGACCAGACTGCAACAGTGATTCTGGGGGACCTGTTATAAATGAACGTTATAACGAAGTCGTTGGACTTCTTCCTGTGGTACCATGGTATACTTGTAACAAGGATGACACCCAAGCTTTTGTGAGGTTGGATAATTACAAAGATTGGATTGAGGACGAGTACCAGAAGTTGTCCAAAAAAAAAATAAATAAAAAAAATAAAAATCTTAATAGACATGGATAATGTTACTAAGGTAGTACTAACTACTTGAAATAAAATAAACTTGTGCTAAAATTGTGTTTTTGTATTTCTTAATATGGTCATTTTCATAGAAATATAAAAAAAAAGAAAATTCGTGGTTTATTTAATTTTGACACCAACAAGAACGGATTTACGTCCACTTGAAATGTTATAGTTATACGTATTTTGGCCTATTGTAATTATGATGACTAATATTTTTTAATGAAAAAAACGTAGTTTTATTTGTTTTGCCACCATTTGTCCAATTTTGAGTCCACTTGAAGTGTTTTGGACTAAATAAAAGTTGAAAACTCAATCTGAAGAAAGTGAGAAGAATTATTTTAATAAAAATGAGAAAAAAAGAAGTTAAATCTAAGAATAATAAACGGAAGTAGAATCAAAAAATTGTCACTACATAATAAAAAAAGAAAGTAAGAAAAGAAAAAGAAAAAGAATAAAAAAAACTTATTTTTTATCTAAGAAAAAAAGATACGGTGGTTGAAACAAAACCTGAAACGGTAATTTATAACAAAATAAAATCTTAATAGACATGGATAATGTTATTAAGGTAGTACTAACTATTTGAAATAAAATAAACTAGTACTAAAATTGTGTTTAATATGGTCATTTTCATAGAAATTAAAAAAAAGAAAATTCGTGGTTTATTTAATTTTGACATCAACAAGAACGGATTTACGTCCACTTGAAATGTTATAGTTATGCGTATTTTGGCCTATTGTAATTATGATGACAAATATTTTTTAATGAAGAAAACGTAGTTTTATTTGTTTTTCCACCAATTTGTCAAATTTTGAGTGTTTTGGACTAAATAAAATTTTGAGTGTCCACTTGAAGTGTTTTGGACTAAATAAAACTTGAAAACTCAATGTGAAGAAAATGAGAAGAATTATTTTAATAAAAATGAGAAAAAAAGAAGTTAAATCTGAGAATAATAAACGGAAGTAGAATCAAAAAATTGTCACGACATAATAAAAAAAGAAAATAAAAAAGAAAAAGAAAAACAATTAAAAAAACTTATTATTTATCTAAGAAAGAAAGAAACGGTGGTTGAAACAAAACCTGAAACGGTAATTTGTAACAAAAAAATTAAACAACACAAGAAAAAAACGTAAAACAAGAAAATTTTATAAAAAACTACGAATTTCGAAAAGAAGGTGAAGATATTAAAAAAAAAAAGAAATTTGAAAGAACTACTT